TAACACGTGGGGGGGGGGGGTTCTGGGTTGTGGCATCCTGGAGTTGTGCACCGCCCAGAGTAGCCTCTGGTGAGACAGGAGGGTTTTGCATGCATGCCATGCATTGCATGCATGCATGCATAAGCAGAGAAGCAGGATGGGTCAATGACAAGAGTTTCACGGCTAAGCAAAAAATAAAATTCCAGGGAGATCTCCGCAAGAAACCTTGGTTCCCCTGCCCCCACTGCTCTGGACAGGTGTTCAAGGTCCCCCCCAGGCTGGACGGGTTTGCAGGAAAATAAACCCGGGGTTGCAGTTCCGCCGCCACCACCCCCCCAGCCCCTGCTCAGCCTGGATTTCCTAAAGGCCCGGTCAGAGGCGACAACCTCGACCCTACTACACTCTTGTGTCCTGTGCATCATCATTCTACAGTACTATGGGTCTTGGTTTCCACCTGCCAGCAAGGCCTACAAGGAAGTTAGGCTGAGAAAGGGTGACTCAGCCGATCGTCTCCCAGGAAATGCAGGAAAAACGTGAGTTTCCTGCCTCCTGACTCAATATATGTACTTTCATCATTACTCTGGTGTTTTGTATTGAATTTGTGCTCTTCAAAAAAAGCCTCAGAGTGCACGGTGTCCTCTTGACATGATCCTAGCCACATGCAACGCGCTTTGTATTTTTGAAGACAAAGTGGAACAAGTCCAACGCTGCAACAAAATGGGGCAGCATAGCCTCATCTTATAAAAAGTACTGGTGTTCAGGGTGCCAGACAGCCCTGTCCTTCTCCAGAATATTCCATTCTTCACCTACCCCAGTTTTTCTTTTGCAACTAAGTATGTGCTCTATAACCACTGAGCCTGCTCCGTCTCCATGGGCCTATTTTAGGAACTTTGCTTTATGAAATAAATGGTATAATCTTGCAAACCTCCACTCCTCCCAAACCTGCTGATCTCTTCCTTGTGTTTTTTCCCGCTGGATCCAGCTTGCCTCCAGTTTCTCTGGTCTTCAGCCTCTGAGCTTGATACACTAGAGAAACTGGCTCATTTCCCTGCAGGTGTCAGCACGCCACACTGGAAAGGAAGCCACTGTCGGTAAGTCCGTGGTACACACATGTGCACAGGACGTACTAAGTAGGGTACGTGCAGAAAAACAAAATGTACATAGGTACGGTTGACCTCATTTCCCAGCAGAAGAATGGTGCTGAAGGAAGGCGTCGATTCTCAGTTTGGTTTAGGGGGAAAGGTGGAGGAGAGTAAAGGTAAATATGTCATTGCAGATCAATCTCACATTAAATAGACTGGCAAGGTGCCGATGCCACTAAATTAACATTTTTAAAAGTTTGCTATTTCTTACTTTATTTACGCGCTCCTATTTTTTAAAAAAGATTGGGCAAATGAACAGCTTAATCTGTCTAATGTAAAAGAAACCATTTTCATGTTAGATTTACCCGTATTTTTCGCTCCATAAGACGCACCTTTCCATAAGACGCACTAATTTTTTAGGAGAAGAAAACAGGAAAATATAATCTGTTTTCTTCGCTCCATAAGACGCACAGACTTTCCACGTCCCTGTTTTGTGGGGGGAAAGTGCGTCTTATGGTGCGAAAAATACGGTAACTCATAACTTCCAAACAGCATACAGTATTTTGTACCAATATTTGGTCAGGCCTGTGTCACGCACAGAATCTTGATTTCATCAAATGCAGTGGGAAGCTACTGAAACATCTTACTTTTTCAGCCATTTTTCTTACTGAACAAAATGCAGTTCCATAACAAATCATAAAATGTGTAGGTTTTAGGTATACATTCAGGGGCCCCCATTCCTTCCCTTTCCCCCCCCCCTCAATTTTTGGAGGCATTTGGTGCCAAAGACTCAGGCATCATTAAATTTATTAGTGTACATGCCCCAAGTAAAGTTTTCCATACAGGTGGATGGCTAGTTTCCAATAAGTGCTAAATTGACGTCAAAAGTCTTTTGTGCAAATCTGAAGCAAGTTTTTATGAGTTCTCAGAATGACATGTTTTATTCTCCAAAGTAACCCTCAGGAGGTATGCAAGTTATGATTTAGAAGTTAGCCAGCTGCCTGTTCTTTTGCCGTTCTGTAAATCTATTTGAAATATGAAGATTTCAGATTTCCCATCTAGATAATCTCACACGCATTATTACAAATTCACCACTGTCCTGTAAAATAAGCTACTATTATAACCAGCCACCTTTCTGCAGATGATGAGAGGGACTGAAGACAATCATAGCAATCCCGTACACACTTAGCTGGAAGGAAAGCTGTGGGGTTTTCTTCAGAGTAAGCATCAAGCTGAGTAGTTTTGTGGCTGAGATTAACAAACTCGGCACTTTGCGCACTCTTAGATCACAAACCTTCGCGTACGAACTGGAATTTCAGTTCAGTCACTCCGTGTCGCAAGCTGCAACTAGAGTCGGCCCACAGAATCGGTGGGGATTCGGTGAGTTCAATTCCTGTATAAATTCCACTTGATTCAATGGGCCTACTCTAGTTGTGATTTATTACACCAAGCAACAGAATTTCAGCCAGCGGTTCTTAAGCCCAAATAAAGATGTGTCCCCACCTACCTTGTCAAGTAGTAAAATTCTTCAGCGTGGACTGCACTACCACTGGAGTTATTGCTCTGCTTCTCTGCTATCCCTGATGTGATAAGAAAACGTAACACAGAACTGCTGTCGTTGAAAAGGCGACCGGATCAAGAGCAAAGCCAGCTGTGGTTCTAGCAGTAAAGTGCCAGTGTGAACACACCCACAGGCATCAGGAACCCGGAATCTAAGCTTGATCTTTGCAGCGTGTGGTTCTGTACTATGATGGAAGAGATTATCTGTCTGGCACTGTAATCCAGCACGGCATTTTCTAAATGGCATGCTACCTGCTCTCGCTGCTTCTAGCAGAGAATTTTAAACATCCACTGATTCCCCCTGGAAGAAGAAGTTGGAAAAGGCAGAAAAGAAAGGAGGGAAAGGCTGCATCCGCAATTATTTGAAACTTTTCGACAGCACCGCAGCAGCAGCTGAATGGAGGGGAGGGAAGAAACCCCCTTTGCCAGCGCCTGGTGCTTCGCTCTTCATTCAGACATGCCCCCTTGTCTGATTCACAATAGTTTCTAGCCGTGCCAAGAGTGATGTCACAAACAGCTGAGACTGGAGAGAGCATGAAGTTGAAGAATGACTTCACATTTAAAGGGAGGTCAGAGCAGGTGATCCATCCACAGAGCACATCCAACTTTGGCATCTGGCTGACACGTGCACGCTCGTTCATGCCAGCCTCTGAATCAGAAGTCCATCTTGCCTGGAATGTGGAAACTTGGGGGGGGGGTGTACTGGCTACCTGGGGCATTCTGGGGAGGCTAATATTGCCCCCCTAGAAGCTGACTCTAGGACTGCATGCTGTTCTTCTCTCACTTTCAAAGCACATTTTTAAAGGATACTTACTAAAAGCCCTTCCAAAACTCCTGCAGAAATCACAATGACACTACAGATGGCTTTCGTTGCAAATGCGACCTTGGAGACCGAAAAGGATCTTCTCCTTCCAAGCCAGCCCCGTTTCCCTTTGTATTCAAGTCTTATTGGGAGACCCAGCATCAGATTAAAATGTAGGATGCATTGGATTTAGTCTGTGCTCTATTTTCTCTTTCCCTGTGCTTCCCCTCTAGAAAATATTCTGTTCCCACTTTATCTTGCAATAAGTCACGCTAAATATGATATAACGTCACCAGTGCACCTTCATTGCTTAGCAATAAGTTGGTGACTGTTTCTATCCTAAGCCCTCAAAAAAGATAGCAAAAGGGATCATGGTGGAGAAAAGTATGATCATTTTTTAAGACCAATGTAGTTCTTGGGGCATTGACTTGTTAAAATATTTTATTTATTTATTTTATTAGATTTATACCCCGCCCATCTAGACGAAAGGTGTAAATTAAAATGTAAATAAGACCAAAATATAAATACTGTACCCCCTTCCCTAATTCTGGTGCAAAGGCCAGCAATAACATTCTGAATTACCTTTGTTGAGTTTCATAACCGTAGGGGCGGGGGGGGGGGGGGTGTGTTGCCTTTAACTCATGTTAATAGACATGAACATTGACAGACCAGTCATGGTATCTTTAAAAGGTAACAAAGAATGTGACAACATATTAGCACAAAGATTTGCCCTACAGAAATCAACAGTAGTGGATTAATTCCTTTCTCACATTTATCCCCCAAATAAATTGATTTCCACTGATACCAGTGATGTGTTAACTCACCCCAGTTTCTCCAAACAGTGGAAAGTTCCAGAGATGCTATGCATATCTAGACTTGATTTCCTGTGAAAGATTAGTTATTGGTAGCATGCAGTATTTTGGTTCATTTACAAATCTTCAGACTGTGAGATGGTGGAGGTCCAGCTTAAACATTTTGTTGTTGCTGCTGTTTAGTCGTTTAGTCGTGTCTGACTCTTCGTGAGCCCATGGACCGGAGCACGCCAGGCCGTCCTGTCTTCTACTGCCTCCCGGAGCTGGGCCAAATTCATGTTGGTTGCTTCGCAGACACTCTCCAGCCATCTCATCCTCGGTCGTCCCCTTCTCCTCTTGCCTTCACACTTTCCCAACATCAGGGGCTTTTCCAGGGAGTCTTTTCTTCTCATTAGATGGCCAAAGTACTGGAGCCTCAGCTTCAGGATCCATCCTTCCAATAAGCACTCAGGGTTGATTTCCTTCAGAATGGATAGGTTTGTTCTCCTTGCAGTCCAGGGGACTCTCAAGAGCCTCCTCCAGCACCACAATTCAAAAGCATCAATTCTTCGGCAGTCAGCTTTCTTTATGGTCCAGCTCTCACTGAACAAATCCATTCCGTTCATAAGCAATCTTTAGGAAAAGTCAGGCAAGACCTCACAATGCAGAGTCTAACCTTGGCTGTCTTTTCCTATGACTTTCTCTGTCTAAGGCTCAGAACTACAGTTTCTATTGTTCCCGTACACACCCGATACGATGTAGCCCTACATTACAGCATGACAACAGGTCCAGGAAAAGACACCTTTTTGCCAGAATGCCATGCATTCTCCAGAGGCATGAAGGGATATGTATGTGCATGAACATAATTGTGCCTCGTCTAATCAATTCTGACTTATGGTGACCCTTCTCAGAGTCTTCTAGGTAAAGACTTACCTAGAAGTCTTTACCTAGAAGACTTACCTAGAAGTCTTTACCTAATTTACCAGTCTTCTAGGTAAAAACTTACCTAGAAGTCTTTACCTAATTTACCACTCCCTTGTTCTGGAGGCATCGTGGGCAGTTTACATCTGATATGTATTCATTTAAAATATTTTTACTCCACCTTTCTCCTTAAAAGGACCCAAAGTGTGTGTGTGTGTGTGTGCGTGTGTGCACATGTGTGTGTGTGTGTGTGTGTGTACGTGTGTGTGCGCGCGCACATAAACACAAATCTACATCATACAGAGACTTGTAAAATAGATTCAGTGATGTACATAGAGTTCTAGGAGTTGAAAATTGCACGACAACCTTGTATTAGTTGGACTAATGGCAGTTACGGTGATTTTAGGAGGAAGAACTAGGGAGTTTGACAAGAGTCAAGTCAGTCAGAGTTGTCAATCCCAGAAGGAGAGGAAGGGAAACTGCTGAAAGGCAAAGGCAAGATGGGTGAGGTTGTCCAGGTAGGAAGAACAGCTGAAGGAACAGAAAGCAAACTAGATTATTTTGGGCGCAGCCTTTGATATTCTGGTCAGACTCGTCCCATTGGCACAGCAATTCAAGGATAAGAACCAGAAAGAAGCAAGGTGTTGTTACTGCTGTATCTGTTGTGTTGTGATCCTCCCAAGTGACACCAGTTGCTTAACTCAATCATGAGTGGCAGAGTCTGGAGCAAGGTTACATCTTGATCCCTTAGATCACCATCACCATGATTGGCGTAAATATATACGTAGCTTGCACGGTTAGCAAGACTTACGGGAGGCAAATGGAGAAGGTCTGTCCAGAGAGCTGAATTTCACTTAGAACAGGCTGATCTGATCTCTTAAGGCACAGAATTGACCCGATCTAGCTGATTCGGTGCTTCTGGCTTCACCTTACACCCAACTAGAGGCATCTGACCGAGGCGCAAAGGGTGGGTTGGTATGGAAGGGTTACAGAGGAAACGGAAGTCAGACCAACAAAATGAGGAAGGAGGAAACCCAACGAAGAAAAATTAGCAAATTTAATTGGATGGAAGCTTTTTTGGTCTATAGCTCACATCACGAGATACATGTGAGCGTATGTAAAATAAAATATATTAATTCCAAAGTGCCAGGAAACTTTCTGGTGCTTTTGATGCAACAAGCTACGGTGGCTGCCTCCTCTCCAGGCAAATCATCATCATTTTAGAACTGCAGAATTGGAAGGGACCCTATGGGTCATTGAGTCCAGTCCCTCAAGGAGGCCCAGTGGGGAATCGAACTCCCAACTTCTGGCTCGGCAGCGAGAGACCTAAACCACTGAACTATCCACCAGTTCTTTCTAATATAAAAGGGCTTCCAACTTCAAGTGGGCTGCAGTCCTACAAAATCTTGGGCCAAAGCAATTGTGTTCATCTTCAAATGCTAGAAGAATATGCTTTTTGTTCTAATTTTTGATCTAATTATAAGATAATTATAGCCCTGGAAGGCAGCCCATCTAGGAGAAGGAAAACTCCGATTTCAAACCTCCACTGCCTTGTGGCTATATCCACTCATGGAAAAGGCTTCAGGAGCTAACCTAGAGGCAGAATCCGGAGCTGGAGGCCCGAAGGCAGCATGTGTCGTTCTGCCAACTCCTGCGACGTTGCTGGAACCAGTCGTATTGGCTCTTGCCTTTCCATTGGACCATTTCAGCAATGTGGAGAGGGGGGATCTGCTGCTTGGGTAACAGCCTATCCTCCATATTACCTTACCTGGGCTTCATGCTCTGGAGAGGACACTCCTCGATTCAGAGCATGTTACCATAGTCTCTCGAGACTGAAGGATGCCTATACTATAACTCCCAGAAATGTAAATAGACCCATGCTGGATCAGTCCACACAATGACCAAAATCCTCTTGATTAGTGTCATAGATCATGCTAGACCAGTGGTTCTCCAACCTAGGGTCCCCAGATGTTCTTGGACTGCAACTCCCAGAAATCCTGGCCAGCTACTAGTGAAGGCTTCTGGGAGTTGTAGTCCAAGGACACCTGAGCAACCAAGGTCGGGAGCCAATGCTCTTAAGCATGCCCGTTGAATCAATGTGGATCTGGTGAGTCCACTCCCCAAAGTTCCATTGATTCAATTAGATCTGCGCAAACTCTGTTTTACTCTGCTAACGTAAGCCACTGTTAGAGTAGGCATAAGGAAAACATTTTCTCTTGCCGCTTGTCAGGTTATTTTTAAACTCTTTTGGCATTACATGCGTCCAGCAAGGTCTCCGCTTAATACTTTTCATTGTTTCCTTTTGTGCTTATGGGTGTACAAGTCAAAAGCTTGTTTCAATTTAAAAAAAAAAAAAGAGCTGCGTGTTTGCCAAGCCTGTGCTTTAGGATTATGGATCGTGAGAGGGCAGCCACGTGTCAGCCAGGGAAAACAGGAAGTGTCTCATTCCTGACCTTTGCTCAGCGTAGGAAAAGGAGCTGGGTTCGTGGCAGTTTATTAAGGGATCTGACCCTGATGGCTTCTCTGGAGCTGTCTAATCAATTGCACCCGTGGGCTTTTGTGTCTTTTTTCCTCCATTTACAAGTAGAGCAAAAAAAGATAAAGAAGAAGCTTTACACAACACTTGTTCTGATACAGCTTAAGGTGGGTTTTATGGCAGGAGGGTCAAAACGAGATCCTCTACTGCAGCGGTTACCAACCTTGGGATGTTCTTGGGCTGCAACTCCCAGAAATCCTGGCCAGCACAGCGAGCGGTGAAGGCTTTGGGGAGTTGTAGTCCAAGTACACTTGGAGATCTAAGACTGGGAGTTGCTGCTCTAGATATATGTTGGATTGCAATTCCCCTTATTCCTCACCAGTCCATATGGTGGCTAAGGCGAATGGGAATTGTAGTCCATCAACCTCT